TTCTGAAGAAAGATCTAGGCCCGAAACGTCAGCCTTCCTGCTCCTCTGATGCTGCTTGGCCGGCTGTGTTCATCCAGCTCTACACCTTGTTATCTCTTTGTTAACAGTGAGTTGTGGCCCCTCTTTCAATCCTGTTACTGTTCCCATCACAGACTCTGCACCGAAATCAGAGACCTCTCGATGCAGCTTCGAAAACTACCTGGACAATCTGTTTGACCCCGTGTTATCACATGGGGCAGGGGTGAGTATATAATACCAGGTGACCAGATGGATTGAGACTGCACAAATAGCTGGGATAGAATGATGGGCAGAATGAGGCTGAATGTGAGTGGACGGGGTGGGTGTGGGTGGGCGGGGTGAGTGTGAGTGTGAGTGGGATAAGTTTGAGAGGGGTGACTATGAATGGGCAGAGTGGTTGGGGTGAGTGAGAGTGGGCAGGGTGGGTGTGAGAGTGGTGAGTGTGAGTGAATAGTGGGTGGGCAGGGTGACTGTGAGAGGGATGAGTGTGAACGGGCAGTGAGTGGACGGGGTGAGTGTGTGTTCAGCTGAACCAAATCAGCCCTTCTACCTCTAGATTTGCAACATGGTAAAATTAAAACCATCAAAGGCCCATAAAATTGACCCTGATAGTTCCTAACTAGACTTTTTGAATAACCAGTCCCAGACTCTGCAAGTAATCAATTCCAGACACTGGTTTGTCACTTAAAGAAAAGACTTCACATTTTTCACAATATAGTAGCTTTAGCAGAGTAAAATTAAACAACAAAGTAATCTAATTGGTCCATATTATAAACCCAAAAATCTTTTGCTTTTAGCCCCATTCACACAAAAGACAGGCAAACAAACACTTTTAAGAGATAAATAGAAGAAAATACTTAAATTGTCCAGATTATTTAAGTGGCTTTCACGATGTGTCATTCTACAGGCAAAGTTGATGGTTTGTTGGTTGATTTTCTGAAGATGTTGATCAGAGTCTCCTTTTCAGTTCACTCAGATAAAGGCAGTAATACTTATAGCTCAATTTTCTATTCTCTGAGCTTCCAAGAGCTGCTCATGGAAGGTTAGGCAGGGAGCTCTCAAATCTTCATGCTGTAGCATCAACAGCCAGCTTCCATGTTGATAGAAATAACAGTCCAAATCCCAATTCAAACTCTGACCACTCCCTAACGTACTGATCATCTCCTCCACAAGGTGCAAGTTACCAGCCAACATCTGCCATTTTTCTGAGAATAAGGTCTTTTCTAGTATTACTAGAAACAATTCCCAGGTACTGACCTTGTTAATAGCCAACTCCTGCTTCCTGTTTATACTTAATGGTCTTCCCCAATGATGAAACATCTGCAGAACCTGATGACCAGGAACCAACCTACAATTGAATTCCAGGCCTAGCCTCATGGATAAACACAAGCTTGTTTGGTCTGTTTTCCTTTTAACGCAAACTGTTATCCATAGTACAAAAGTTATCTTTAGCTGACAGTTCCCAGTTCACAGCTCCAAATCAAAATTGATTAAAAAACTAAAATTATGAAAAATCAGCGAGGTATGTAACGTGAGTATGAGTGGTAGAGTGGACTGGGTGAGTGTGAAGGTAGAGTGGGCAATGTGAGTGTGTGTGAGTTAAGGGTGCCTGTGTGCTGGGTCATTGATTGGTGTCGGAGCGATTGAGTGGAGTGAGGTGAGGGGATGAAGTTGCAGTGTATAGTTATGATTGTGTCACTGAGTGTCCGAGCTGTCAGGGAATGATGGGTGTTTTCTGACATACTTTGCAGGAAATGGAGCGATCCAGGGATTTAAACAGGCGGATGAAAGGAGGTGGAGGAATCGGCCCCTCACAGGCTGGAGCATATATGATGACAGGTTAGTGGACGAGAGAACAGAACGTCTGTGTTTCAGCAAGTGTTGCTGTGAGGAGTGTGGGACAATGTTGGGTTGTGATAGTAACAGTGACGTGAGGTGTCTGGGATATTTAAATGAGTTTTTGCATATTCGACATGCATGATTTGAGCTGGGGGATATGGAGGGAGAAGAGTGTAGGTTAAGAGATCCAAGGTGGGGGTGCAAGTGTGAGGTGAGGGATACGATGGGAGGTGAATGTGACGCAGGGGTTGCGGATGGAGGGGAGTGTGACATGGGAAATTTTGAAGACGGTGAGGGTGAGGTGAGGGATTCAAAGGGAGATGAGTGTGAGGAGAGATATGGAGGGGAATGTGTGATGGGGATCTGGAGGGAGATGAGTGAGACATGGGAGATTCAGACGGAGGTGAGTGTAGGTTGGGGGTAACAGAGGGAGGCGAGTGTGAGGTGGGGGATAGGGAAGGAGGTGAGTGAAAGGTGGGAGTTGGGATAGAGGGGAGTGTGAGGCAGGATTAAGAATGCGAGGTAGAAGGTGAGTGTGAGTCCAGAGGCTTATGCAAGATAGGAGGTGAGTATGAGGAGGCAGATGAGTGTGAAATGGGAGGGGGTGTGAAGCAGAAACATGTGACGTGGAGGCAGCTGTAAGGTGGGTATGAGGAGGGATTTGAGTGTGAGGTGGCGGTGAGTGTGAGGTGGCGGTGAGTGTGAGGAGGCGGTGAGTGTGAGGAGGCGGTGAGTGTGAGGTGAGGGTGAGGCGGTGGTGAGTGTGACGCGGTGGTGAGTGTGAAGTGAGGGTGAGGGAGAGGTGGCAGTGAGTGTGAGGTGGCGGTGAGTGTGAGGTGGGGGTGAGGGAAAGGTGGCAGTGAGTGTGAGGTGGCGGTGAGTGTGAGGAGGGGGTGAGTGTGAAGTGAGGGTGAGGGAGAGGTGGCAGTGAGTGTGAGGTGGCGGTGAGTGTGAGGTGGGGGTGAGTGTGAGGTGGGGGTGAGCGTGGATGTGGATGTGAATGCGAAGAATGAGCTGTGTGGTTTAAATGCTGTCTGTGACCTGTTCCGTCTCCGGTTGAGATAAAGTCTGTTTTACTTCATGCACAGGTATGCCAATGGTTCCCAACTATTCAATGGGTATGTAATTTCTGACATTTACTCTTTAGTCTGTGTGAAGTCTCTGCATTTAAGTCGTTATGCTTTAATCAGTATACTCTCCACACCATTGGAGTGCAGCTTTGTTTTCCCTGGAAACCGAATTAAAACTAGAATTAGGTTTATTGTCACGTGTACTCAGGTACAGAAGTACAAGAGAACATAAGAACATAAGAACATAATAAGAACATAAGAACTAGGAGCAGGAGTAGGCCATCTGGCCCCTCGAGCCTGCACTGCCATTTAATAAGATCATGGCTGAGAACAATGAAAGGTTTACAATGTCACCCGCTCAGCACCGAGATAGAAATCTTAGAATCTAAATAGAGAAATAAACAAAAACATGACCACAACAAAATGTGAAAAATAGGATAACTTCCATTTACATAGCATCTTTATGGAGTAAAATATCCCCAGGACCTTCATAAATTAACAGAGAAACAAAGGATAGAAGACAAAATGCTTTATCAAAGACAACAAGGTGCAGAGCTGGATGAACACAGCAGGCCAAGCAACATCATAGGAGCAGGAAGGCTGACGTTTTGGGCCCAGACCCTTCATCAGAAATCGGGGAGGGGAAGAGGGTTCTGAAATAAATAGGGAGAGAGGGGGAGGGGGATAGAAGATGGATAGAAGAGAATATAAGTGGAGAGGAAACAGACAGGTCGTAGAGGCAGGGATGGAGCCAGTAAAGGTGAGTGTAGGTGGGGAGTTAGGGAGGGGATAGGTCAGTCCAGGGAGGATGGACAGGTCAAGGGGGCAGGATGAGGTTAGTAGGTAGGAGATGGGGGTGCGGCTTGAGGTGGGAGGAGGGGATAGGTGGGAGGAAGAACAGGTTAGGGAGGCGGGGACGAGCTGGGCTGGTTTTGGGATGCGGTAGGGGGAGGGGAGATTTTGAAGCTTGTGAAATCCACATTGATACCATTGGGCTGCAGGGTTCCCAAGCGGAATATGAGTTGCTGTTCCTGCAATCTTCGGGTGGCATCGTTGTGGCACTGCAGGAGGCCCAGGATGGACATGTCATCTGAGGAATGGGAGGTGGAGTTGAAATGGTTTGCGACTGGGAGGTGCAGTTGTTTATTGCGAACCAAGCGTAGGTGTTCTGCAAAGCGGTCCCCAAGCCTCCGCTTGGTTTCCCCGATGTAGAGGAGGCCACAACGGGTACAGCGGATGCAGTATACCACATTGGCAGATGTGCAGGTGAACATCTGCTTGATGTGGAAAGTCTTCTTGGGGCCTGGGATGGGGGTGAGGGAGGAGGTATGGGGGCAGATGTAGCACTTCCTGCAGTTGCAGGGAAAAGTGCCGGGTGCAGTGGGGCTGGAGGGGAGTGTGGAACGGACAAGGGAGTCACGGAGAGAGTGGTCCCTCCGGAAAGCAGATAAGGGTGGGGAGGGAAAAATGTCTTTGGTGGTGGGGTCGGATTGCAGATGGCGGAAGTGTCGGAGGATTATGCGTTGGATCCGGAGATTGGTGGGGTGGTACATGAGGACGAGAGGGATTCTTTTTTGGTTGTTATTGCGTGGACGGGGTGTGAGGGATGAGTTGCGAGAAATGTGGGAGACACGGTTGAGGGCGTTCTCAACCACTGAGGGGGGGAAGTTGCGGTCCTTGAAAAACGAGGACATCTGAGATGTACGGGAGTGGAATGCCTCATCCTGGGAGCAGATGCGGCGGAGGTGAAGGAATTGGTAATAGGGGATGGCATTTTTGCAGGAAGGTGGGTGGGAGAAGGTGTATTCTAGGTAGCTGTGGGAGTCGGTGGGCTTGAAATGGATATCGGTTTCTAGGTAGTTGCCCGAGATGGAGACAGAGAGGTCCAGGAAGGAGAGAGAGGTGTTAGAGATGGTCCAGGTGAACTTAAGGTTGGGGTGGAAGGTGTTGGTGAAGTGGATGAACTGTTCGAGCTCCTCGTGGGAGCATGAGGCGGCGCCGATATAGTCATCAATGTAACGGAGGAAGAGGTGGGGTTTAGGGCCAGTCCTCACGTACCACCCCACCAACCTCTTTCTCCTGACCACCAAACATGTGAAAGTGCTGTACGGAGAATGAGATACTGCTGATGTGCAGTCAATGTTGTAATATAAGAAAAAAGACAGCTAATTTGCACACAGTCCACACTCAGCAACATTATAATGAACAGAGTTTGTGATGTTGATTGAGGGATAAATGTTGAGTTGAACTCCAGCTCAGGACATATGCTTTTCTTAGCCATGGAATCTTCACATTCACCTGAGCAAGCACATGGACCCACAGTTTAACATCTCATGCAAACAATGACACATCCAACAGTGCAGCACTCCTTCAGAGTTTCACTAAAGTCTTCATATAAACTTTTGTGTTTGAGCTCTGATGTGGGACTTGAACCTAGAAAGTTTGGAGTCAGGGTTAGAATTGCTACCAGTGAAGCCACAGTAGTCAGTGGATCACCACAAACTTTTAATATTGCAATGCTGAATTGTCCAAATATCCTGCATAATACCTCATCATTAACACCTTTGTAATTGCCTTCACCCGTGGTTAGCATCATTCACCTCATAGAGGTATTTGTGGGAAATGTGAATGGTGTAAGCAGTCTAGTACAAGCACTCTCACACCCAGAAATGTACCAGGGATAAACATACAAATTGGAAGTTTGCATTTTGAGCAGTTCAAGTACAATTGGAAAGTAAACCCTTCAGCAATGAGCCATTGGAAACATCAGTTATGTTTCAACAATTCAGTATCCTTAATGCTGCAACAGCATTAATACTGGCCTAAGATGTTAAATATTGTGCAAAATGTAGTGGTCAATTCAGAATACTGATTCAATAGAATACTTGCAGTCTAAATACACATGATGTCATGAATTCACATAACTGCTCATTCATTATGGCATAGGAGGAGGCCACTCAGTCCATCAAATCTCACTGTACACGTTGCTGCACTGTGCTTCAAGCATCACGCAACTGGTTATTATAGAAGGATTATTCTCTTCATTTCAGTTGCACGAGTATCAGATGATCATCAGTCCATCCATTTGGACTCAAACATTACAGTATGAGAGCCAGGGCCCGGGATAGGGGTACACGAGGGCTCAGTAACCAATACTCTCGGGGATTACTGTGTTTGGGCTGGGGTGAAGCCAGAGGGCCTGGGCCAGAAGCAGCACCATAACCTGTCATTTCTGTCCTTGCCCCTGGCTAAAGCCAGCTTATATGTACAGACTGCTAGTCCTATGCCTGTTCCCTTAAAACCTCAAAACACAGGAGACCATTCACTCCATCACATTTGTACTGGGTGTGTGGAAGTGTCCAATTAGACCCCTCCATTGTAATTCCCCAATGCCCTGTAATTTCTTTTTGAATATTCATCCAATTCACTTTTAAAGTTATTACTGAAAATGCTCAAATATGTTTTCAGTGCTAAAGGAGACTGAAGGAATAAGAAAGTGAAATTACTTATTTAAATCTCTGCATAATGTGTTACTCATATTAAGAGGTCGATTAGTTTTGGTTCAGCTTCAGATCAGAAGGAACTGACACGAGTACCTCAACTGGGTCTTTAATTACAGTGTGATTCCAACAGCAAAATTGACTCAGAAACAGAAATTGCTGGAGAAGTTTAGTACATCTGGTAGAATCTTTAGAGAGAAAAACAGAGTAATGTGTCAATGGTCCTTCCTTAGAGTTACTCCAGCAATTTCTGGTTTTTTTTCAGATTTCCGGTATCCACAGTTCTTTGTTTCGGTTCTAGCATGCTTGACTTGCTGCCAGTATGTGCAGCACATGATTTACAGAATCTGTCTGGCAAAGACACATTTCTGTTGTAGGGTGTGAGGATGCAGAATGTTGCAAGAATGTGGAAGATTGGGTGGATAGCTAATCATTTTCTTTCTTTCTTGTTCAGGTGTTCCAGCAATGTCACAGATGCCCACTGTACCAACCTATCAGACCATGCCTTTAATGCCAGCAATGCAGTCAATGCCTATAATGCAACAAATGCCTCCAGTGCAACCTGTTCCTATGATGCAACCAATGGCATCACCAATGCCAGGTAACTGTGTCATAAAAATACCATTCTTCCTTTCCCTCCCTCAATCTATTCAGTATCTTTGTACTATTGGTATTACCATGGTCAATGCTCCTCTGTATGTTCACTTTATTCCTCTAAAAGTGCAGATACTGTCTTGCTGCTCTTCATGGCTCCACTGGGTTAAAATCAACAAGCCCACGAATTTCATTCTGTGACAGCTGTTTCCACAGCACTCCATGTTTGCAATGTTCTCGACAGAATTGAGCTCATGATGTGCAAGAACTTCGCAGCCCACCATATTAGTACAGGGAGAAGACAGCCTCAGCCTTAAGGTGGTTGTTACTCTCTTTACATATGTAAATATTAAGCATTTTGCTTGTTTGAGGCTTCATGTGCAAAGCGCGAAGCCTTGGACCCATGTGACACTGTCCTGTCTGCATTCAAATCTGTTCCACGTGTGATTGAACTGGCACTTTTAACAGCGTTATCATTAAATGGTTAAAAAATGCGTATCCCAAACATGAACCCGTGCTGAGCAATTCCATTTTTGGGTGTACATTAAAATTACGGGGCACAGATTGTATCTTTCTAATTGCTGTCTCCATCCCAGTTGCTTGATGGACCTTCCTCTTCTCAATTGTCTTGATCACCATGCTCCCCTCTTTGTATTCATCTCTTACCCCTCAATCACTTTCTCTTCAAACACTATCACTGAGACAGCATTCCCAAATTTACTCACTTCACTCATCGATCAGCCTGGGGACATCCTACTGTCTGCAGTCTGCTGCTGTGATACTAAAAAGCAAAGTCCATTAGTGGGTGGGTTGGCATCAATGTGTATTTCTGGGCCACTAACTCCCTATCGCTGAATCTTAAGCTGAAGAACTCTTTATACAAATATGGGAAAGTTCTGGAAGATTTGAAGAATAAAAGCTTTCATCCTAACTTTTAATTAGGGGATTATAGAAGAGGAGGAACGTCTTAACCCTGTTCTGGCATTCAATGAGATTGTGGTTGATCTGTGACTCTTTATACCCACTTTTGCCCCATAGCCCTTATTACCTTTGGTGAACAAAAATCTACCAAACCCAAATTTAAAGGTTACAATGGATCAAGTATTATTTGTTCTTTGTGGAAGACAGTTCCAAATTTCCTGGGATCTCACTCAGCCACTGGAGAGTCAACGGGAGTCTCTTTTAGGGAAGGCCCATTCAATTACTTGTGGCTCATCACCACCTTCTCAAGACCAATTAGGGATGAGCAATATATGCCAGCAATGCCCACATCCCATGGTTGAGTGAAAAGAATTAAATGCTATTCAGATGCTTAATCATACAGTGACAGGTCTTTCCAAGGATCGGGGCCTTTTGGGCAGCTCCATACAAACTTAGTTGTCAGGCTTCCAGTTGGCTTAACAATAGTACTGGCAGCAGGAGGCACTGGATACTTCAAAGGCTATGACAACATTCTGACAATAACACAGAAGACCTGTATCCTAGAAATTACCATGCTCTGGCCAAACTTTTCCAGTACAATTACAACACTGGCATCATTCTGACAATGTTGAAATTGCCCAAGTAGGTTCTGTCCACAAAAAGCAGAACAATTCAACCCAACGAATAACCACACCGTCAGTCTATTCTCGATCATCAGTAAAGTAGTCGGCCTCCAACAGTGTTGTCAAGCAGCATTTGTTTAGCAATAACCTACTCACTGACACTTAGTTTGGGTTCCACCAGGGCCAGCTCCTGACCTCATTACAGCTTTATTTCAAACATGGGAAATGAAGCTGAACTTCAGAGATGAAGTAAGAGTGACTGCCCATGACATCAAGGCCGCATTTGACCAAGAGTAACATCAAAGAAAAAAAAAACAGAAGTTGCTGGAGAAGCTTGGCAGGTCTGGCAGCATCTGTGAAGAAAAAATCAGAGTTTTTGAGAAAGGGTCACCAGACCAGAAACGTTAACTCTGAGTTTGTCTTCACAGATGCTGCCAGATCTGCTGAGCTTTTCCAGAAACTTCTGATTTTGTTCCTGATTTATAGCATCCAGTTTTTTTGGTTTTTATTTAGTAACATCAAGGATTCCTAGCCAAATGAATCAATAAGTATTGGGGCAAAGTCTCGGCTGGTTGGAGTCATACCTGGATAGGAAGAAGGTTCTGGTTGTTGGAGGTCAATCATCTCAGCTCCAGGGCATCTTACAGGAGTTCCTCGTGGTAGTGTCCTATGTCCAACCATCTTCAGCTGCTTCATCTATGACCTTCCCTCCACCATAAGGTCAGAATTGGGATGTTCGCCAATGATTGCACAATGTTCAGCACCATTCCCACTCCTCAGATACTGAAGCAGTCCATGGTCAAATGCAGCAAGACCCCAAATACATTCAGGACAATTGGCAAGTAACATTCACTTCACACAAGTGCCAAGCAACGACCATCTCCACAAGAGAGAATCTACCCATTACTCCTTGATGATCAATGGCATTACCAACACTGAATCCCCCACTATCAACATTCTGGGAGATACTATTGACCAGAAACTGAGCTGGACTCGCTATATAAATGCAGTGGCTACAAGAGCAGGTCAGGAATTTGGAATCCTACAGCACGTAATTCACCTCCTGATTCTCCAAAGCCTGTCCACCAATCAAAAGATGCACAGGTTCAGTGGATTGGCCATGTTAAATTGCCCATATGTCCAGGTTGTGCAGGCTAGGTGGATTAGCAATGGGAAATGCAAAGTAGAGGGTGGGTCTTGGTGGGATGCTGTTTGGAGGGATAGTGTGGACATGATGGGCCAAATGGCCTGCTTCCGCACTGTAGGGATTCTATGATTCTATGATCTACAAGGCACAAGTCTGGACCATGATGGAATACTCTCCACTTGCCTTAATGAGTGCAGCTCCAATAACATTTAAGAAACTTGACACCATCCAGAAAAGAAGCAGCCCCTTGATTGGCACTAAATCCACAAAAAAATCATCTCACCCCCCAACACCAACTCAGTAGCAGCAATGTGTACTATCCACAAGATGTAATGCAGAAATTAATTAAGGCTCCTTAAAGCACCATCCAAACCTACAATCCAGAAGATCTTAGAAACATATCACTGTTGCTTCAGTGTCACTGGGTCAAAGTCCTGGAACTCCCTCCTTTAACAGCATTGTTGGTCTACCTACACCAATGGATTTCAATGTTTTAAGAAGACAGTTCCTCACCCCCTTCTCAAGGGCAACTAGGGTTGGCAATAAAACCTAGCCCAGTCAATGACATCCACACCCCATGAATTAAAAAAAAACCAGTCATTAATAAATGCAATGAATGGTCGAAGCCTCAACTCAGAACCTATAGTAAAGTACAAATCACATCCTATCAATTAGAGAATTTACCCATTATCCTACTTTGTGTCTCCTTCTGAATTGCCAATGTCCTAACCAGGTCAATAATTTGCCTTAAATTCTCTGAGTTTCAACACTAGCTAACTCTCTCTTCAAAGGGACCATTACAAATGCTTTCGGATGTCCATAATAACAACATCCATAGGTATTTCCCTGTCCACTATGGTCACCTCTTCAAAAGTTCAACTCAAAAAATTCTACCCTTTACAAATTCATGCTGGTTTTCTCTGGTCAGCTGAAAATTAAAGTTTTTCCATCTATATATCCTTAATTATAGACTCTAGTGATTAGTTGAATCAGATATTAGGCTGCCTGATCTCTAATTTCCTCTCTTACCTTTCTTATATCGCATGATGACATATAAAATTTCTCAAATTAGAAGAACTTTATCAAATAAAGAGATGTTTGGAAAACTGGAGTCTCGAACATCTATAATGTTCTCACCAATTTTCTTTGAAGGCCTGAGATGAAAACCATATGGTCCTGGGGATTTCTCATTTGTTCTGGTGAATATTTTCTTCAGTACTGTTACTTTGTTTCAACTAATTTTGGTATATCCCATTTCTGACTGAATTATACTTTCTTCCGAATGACTGACACTTTACCCTGTTTCTCCTAACTCACTTTGGCTCTGTATCAGAGTGGCTGGACTTTGGAAATAAGCAGTTACAGTCACCATTTCTCTGTTAGTTTTACTCTGCACCATTGTGACCCATGATTCTTCCTGGTGTGTGCAGCCAATTATTTCTACTGAATCCTGAATTTACTACTTGAAGAAGGATGGTGGTGTTGTTCTATCTTGAATTCTCTACACATTGATCTTATCCATTTGACCCTGTCTGTATCTTCTACTTTCAATTTCTTTTTTTTTGCTCGGGTTTAATCTCTCACTTAGTTCTGCTCTCACCTGTTCATGTTTTCCTAATTCCTGTCTCGGATTTGGCCAACTTCCACTCACTCAGTCCTCCGACAATCCTCCAATTTTTAAAACTAAATTTTTCATTTTACTTAAGTGACTGGCTGATTTATGACAATTTTGGTTTTACTTCTTTCAGCTTTGGTGCTATGAATGCTATTTCAGTGTTCACCTAGATATCTTAATTTAAATACGGTGTTTATGAAGGATGGAGTCAATTCAATTCAAGACAGCTAGAATACAAGAGCAGAGATGAGCTGAGGCTGTATAAGGCTCTCTGGTCAGACCGCATTTGGGACATTGTGAGTCGTTTTGGGCCCCGTATCCAAGGAAGGATGTGCTGGTCTTGGAGAGGGTCCAGAGGAAGTTCACAAAAATGATCCTGGGGATGAAGGCTTGTCATATAAGGAGCAGTTGAGCACTCTGGGTTTGTACTCAATGAAGTTTAGAAGGATGAGGGGGAATCTCATTGGAATTTACAGAGTACTGAGACCCCTAGATAGAGTGGACATGGAGAAGATGTTTCCAATAAAAGGAGAGACTAGAACCCTAACGCACAACCTCAGAATGAAGGGATGACCCTTTAGAACTGGGATGAGGAGGGATTTCTTCTGCCAGAGGGTGGAGACCAAGTGATTGAATGAATTTTATACACAGACGGATAGATTCTCGATTAGAATGGAGATCATAAGTTATGTGGAGAAGGTAGGAGAATGGCTTTGAAAAATATACCAGCCATGATCAAATGGTGAAGTAGACTCGATGGGCCAAAAGGCCTAATTCTGCTTCTGTATCTTATGCTCTTATGATGCGGATTCAGATCTGGGGCAGCCACAGTGATGGGCACGTGCTGAGGCCGGCTGATTGGAAGACCCATTCTCTAGCACTTTGTACTGGTTGTTTTGTTAAAGTTGGGTCCTCTAACCCTCACCTCTCACAACCCCTCAGGCCCCATTCACTCTGCATGCCAAATATTCCAGCTCATGAAGACCCAGTATCCAATCTATGCCCCCACACACTCTCAATGCCAACTTAGTGCCATACCAGCCGCACCCAAACACCACCCTTTGACCTTACTGCCTTTAATACCAATTCACCCAGTATCCATCACAAACAAACCTCAGGAGCCATGCTGAGATGGTATTAAGCTCTAAACCTTTGAAGAGTTCATTGTATAACAATGACACCCATTACAATAAGAGAAGTCCTTCAATACATTTCAATCCCCTCTCATACTTAATCCTATATGAAAACAAACATTTGTATTCATCATATTGAGGGTGGCTAATCTTTTAATAACATCTTCGAGTTGTCAGTCAAATTGTGAATTTACCACATCCCTTTGTGATGATAGGTTATGGAAGTATAATAACAGCCAGTGCTATAATGATGGGACTCTGGGTTACGTCAAGACGCAGCGATTGAAACTGCTAGACACTTTGTTTTCAAATCTCATTGGCAGGCAATTTTTCATTTTTGTCTAAAGTGTTGTGACAGTTCTACAGAGCCTATCTATCTTTCAAGAACATTTAGCACCAAATACCACACTCAGAGTTGAGACCCATGCTTCAGTGAAAATGGGGTCTTTTTGAACTGAGCTTTAAGTTCAAATGGCCTTGCTGAGTTTGGATTTCACACATGTGGGATCATATCCTGCCCTGTTTGTTCCCCCTCCCAATGAAAATGGATTCAGATGCTCAGAGTGTCCACAACACCACAAAAATTCTAACAGATTTTTAGAACTGATCGCTGCAGATCAGTCATTATTTTAATGGGAGTGCAGATTTTTGAGACTAAAAGGATTCCTCTTATTGTCCTAAGTTATGTTCTGGTAATTGTGTGTTACACGGTACTTGTCCATGTTTTACTCGTTCCTGTGAATTGTTCATCTCTGATTATGACCCTCTCTTTGCAGCAATGATGATGCCACAGAGCAGTGTACCTCAGATGACACCTATGCACCAGACTTCCCAGTATGCACCATCTCAATTGCGCCAACCTGAAAGACAAATTGACTCATCCCAACTAGCAGCTCAACAGCAGACATTCATCAACCAGCAGGCACTCTTACTGGTGAGTGTAGAGGTCAAACTCTTGACAGTTGTTTACTGTAAAATATGTTGGATCAATTAACAACCAAATCAAGGAATGCGTGGAGATGAAACTGTTATACAGACTGATAGATCAATACACAGTAAATCTATTTGACGAAAAAGTTACATTGCTTCCCTTGTTATTGTGAGTAAAGGTAGTCCACAGTATAGTGCTGAGCCATTCAAATATGTCCAAGACTAATAGCATCTGAAACCAGATACAGGAGCAAGAATAAACCATATAGCTTCTGAGGTTTGCTTCACCATTCAATATACAGCAAACTTTGTTTTAACTGGCACTCTTGATAAACTGGAAAAAATTCTACGCTTCAAATACCATGATCAACAATGATGTCTGAGTATTTATGCTGTGAAGTATAATAGTGATGTGTATACCCCCTGCATTATGTTTCTATTACTGTGTGTGGTTTTACATTGACTTTAGAAGGTGTTTTGATGTTTTTACATAGATTTTCTGAGGAATGTTGATGTCTCGAAGCTTCACTTGGTCACAGTTTACTGCGGTTATGTATACCTCTTGATTATCTAGAATATTTGATCAGCTGGCACAGCCCTGGTCCCATACATGCCGGTTAATAAAAAAGTTTGTTGTAATAATGGGTCAATTGCGCTTTCCTACTGTATTCCCATGTCCCTTAATTCTCCATGCTGTCCATTATATGCAACGCTGTATACGATCTTGTGATAATTTTGATTATCTCTATTCGTTCTCCCCTTTACATAGAGTCTAGAGATCTTCAAGCCCAGAAAAGGGCCCTTTGGCCCATCATGTCACACTATCAAATACAATCACCTAACCATTCTGATCCCATTTTCTAGCCTTGTATGCCTTGGCATCTCGGGACCATATCTAAATACTTCTTCAATGTGATGAGGGTTTCTGCCTTGACTGCCCTTAAAGGCAGTGAGTTCCAGATTCCCATCACCCTCTAAATAAAAATGAATAATGCTGGGAATAATCAGTGGATCAGACAGCATCACGGAGAGAGAAACAGAATTAACTTTCTCGGTTAATAACTTTTCATCATAACCCTTCAAGAAGAAATTTCGGTTCAAAGCGGAGCTTGAAAAGGGATTTGAACTCACGCCCAACAGGTTAAATGCCTTTTACACTCCTGAAGAAACAATCTGCAGTTCCATCCCCAACCTGCACTGAGGTGCTGTGGTCAGCCAGGACCCCATAAAGGCCTAGAATTGGCACTTTGAGATGGAAAGGGAAGCATCAGTCAGGATAGTAAGAACTGCAGATGCTGGAGTCAGAGATAACGCAGCGTGGAGCTGGAGAAACACATCAGGCCAGACAGCATCAGAGGAGCGGGAAAGTTGATGTTTCGGGTCCAGACTCTTCTTCAGAAATCCCTCTGGTTGTGCCAATGCAGACAATTTCTCCTTATTTAGTCAATCAATATCTATTATAATTTTGACCATTGAGCAGCACAATGGCTCAGGGGTGAGCACTGCTGCTACACAGCGCGAGGAACCCGGGATCAATTCTAGCCTGGGGTGACTGTCTGAGTGGAGTTTGCACATTCTCCCCGTGTCTGCGTGGGTTCCCTCCGGGTGCTCCAGTTTCCTCCCACAGTCCAAAGATGTGTGGGTTAGGTGGATTGGTAATGGGAAGTGCAGGGTTACGAGGGGTGGTTCTGGGTGGGATGCCCTTTGGACGGTCAGTGAGGGCTTGATTGGCCAAATAGCCTGCTTCCACACTGTAGGTACTCTGTGTCTATAAAATCTCACCTTAGTCATGTTTGAGCCTTGATCACACCAACTCATCCATTCAATGTCTTCCATCCCCAATCTTCACAAATTCCACCTTGCGTAAGACTCAGCTGCTGATCTCTTATTTTATGCAGTCCCATGTCCCTATTACCTTTATCTTTACGAACTTTTGCAGCATCTCAGTCCACAAGACGAGATCTTCATTGTAGAAAGTAAAAGTCAGTTTTGTACAGCACTCACCTGCTTTGGAGTTATTTGCCTGTTGTGCCTTGTGTTACGTAGCATCAATCTGATATGAAATGTTTTCTTTCCCCAGGCCCAGCAGATGACTATTCAGGCCATGTCAATAAGTCAGCAACAACAGCAGGAACGACAGCAGAAGAAACAACGAGAGGAGCAGCCTGTCGCCGAGACTCCAAAGGCCCCAAGACCACCAAAAACCAACACTAAGCCCATCATACCTACTCCAGCTCAACAACCAAAGAAGACCAGTGTGAAGACTGAACCTTTTGTTAAAAAGGATCTCCCTAAAGAGAAAGAAGTACCTCCTCAGGACACGGTATTTATTTTTATCATGATATTTTTCCTACCCTTTTATCGGAAGAAGCAAGACAGCTAGGTTTGAACTTCAACTTGACGCACTCTTTCACTTGAGGATAAAGATAACAAGAAATGAATTATTCCTTGACCTTGAGGAATATATCAACTGAGCTATGCATGGCCTCGGCTTCTCTTCCACCATTTGCTAAATGAGTAGGAGAGTCAATTGTCTTAATTTCTGTCAAGGAGGTCTTAACATTAATGGGTCGTGTTAGTGTATTAGTGAGATACACCATACTATTAATATGCTTACCTGTATAAATGGAGCTTTTTTTTAATTCGTGAGATGTGGGCATCGTCTGCTGGAAAGTATTGATTGCCCATCTCTGAAAGTGTTCACAGTCAGGTTAGCTTTCATTCTAGATTTTTGTTGAATTCAAATTTTACCATCTGGTATGGTAGGATTTGAACTTTAGTCCTCAAAGCTTAGTCCTCCAAGGGTCTGAATTACTAGCCCAGTGACATTACCACCTCCCTTTAAATTTCTGGCATTCAGATTAACAGTGAGTTTAAGGCATTGTTTTAGCAAATTATCAGTGTGAAGATGGAGGGCCTGGCTACCTCTGGGGTGTCCTGAGAGGAGACTACTGAGAGGCTGTGTGTGGTAATTCATCTGATTGGGTGTCTCCTGCCGTTGCCCTGTCTCTTTGTGAATAAGGGGAATATGGAGTGTACATCAGGTTCCCAATCCTGCAGGCTTCTATTCCAACTCTCCTTGGTGTGTTGGGCTTACTCTGGATATCAATAACCCAAAGCCATTCTGATAATAGATTACAGCCAGTGTTCTTTATTAAGGCAAAGTATATTACAAAATACTCCAAAAATCTTACCCATGCAATGCTTACAATCACAAGTGACCCCATTTATTTAGACCTGTCCAAGAATCAGTCTAGAGGAGGTGATCAGCCTGCTGCATTTCCACCTCCAGCTGCTGATCAGATAAGCCTCCCCAGCTAGCTACTACACTCTGAGGCAAACTTTCTCCTAAACTCTTTTTCCAAACAGACTGTCTGTGTTCAAACTCTGACACTGACTAGTTTCCTGTAAGTGATCAACTACTTTGATTAGTTGCCCGTTAAGACTTGTTTGTGTCTTCCTGGAAAGAGGCTTATCCCTAGTCTTAATGAACTTGAAACTCAACCAGCTTGCTCAGCAGTTGTCACCTTTGTTATCTAATCAACCTGTATGATAGTTACACAGCACAATTTGAGAACCAAACACTGATTTAGCTGATACATTGTCCACATTATCACATCTGATTCACTGTATCTGGTTTTAAACAAGAGGTGCTGTAAGACAATCCAGTTCATTTCGCCTGAATTGTAACACTTACATAAACACACACATTCCTCCAGAAAAACACAGAAACATATTAAAACTAGAGATCTTTATAATCATTAGGTCATCATCAGGCTTGATGTGTTTTGTTTTTCTTAGAATCATAGAATCCCTAGAGTTCGGAAAAAGTCCAATTGGCCATTCAAGTTCATACTGATCCTGCATGGAGCATTCCATTCAGACCCAGCCCCAGTCACAGCCCACCCTATCCCTGTAACCCTGCATTTCCCATGGCCAACCCACCTTGCCCACACGTCCCTGGACACTATGGGAAATTTAGCATGGCCAATCCACCTAACATGCACATCTTTGCACTGTGGGAGAAAACCAGAGCTCCTGGAGGAACCCAATGCAGACACAGGGAGAATGTGCAAACTCCACACAGACAGTTGCCCGAGCGTGGAATCAAGCTCAGGTCCCAGGTCCCTGTGAGGCAGAGGTGCTAACCATTGAGCCACCACACCATTCTTCACATTTCATACAAACCCAAAATGTTCCCTCGAGCGTGGTAGGAAGCAACGACAAGCCCAGGGAACCATGGATGACTGGAGATATTCAGGATACGATGAGAAGGAGAAGAGGTGTTTTTAGCAGGTACAAGGGGAACAAATCAGCGGAGACATTAGTGGAGTACAGAAAGTGCAGGGTGGTGCTTAAGAAAGCAAAGAGGGGATATGAGAAAGTTCTGGCTGGTAACAGTAGGGGAAAATCTCAGTGTTGAATCAAGAGAATGAGGATGAAGATATGGAACCTAGGAGGAGAGACTGCAAGGTGCTTGAGCAAATTGATGTAGAGAAGGACAAGGTATTGGAGGTGTTGGACAAATCTTCATGTCCTGATGAATTGAGTTCCAGGCTGCCATGGGAGGCAAGGGAGGAGATTTCAGGGGCACTGACCCAAATTTTTAATTCCTCTCTGGCCAGAGGGGAGGAGCCAGAGGACTGGGAAGCAGCTAATGTGATTCCAATATTTGAGAACAGTTGTAAAAATAAGCCAGAGAACTACAGACCAGCGAGTCTGACATCAGTGGTGGGGAAACTATTGGAGAAAATTCTGAAGGAGAGCAGCTGTCCCCGCCTGGAGAGGCAAGGCTTGATCAAGGATAGTCATCGTGGACAAAAATAGAAATTGCTGGAAAAACTCAGCAGGTCCGGCAGCATCTGTGGAGAGAAATCAGAGTTAATGTTTAGGGTCGAGTGACCCTTCCTCAGAACTGAATAGTCAGCATTCAAGTCACATTGACTGAATGACCGGTTATGCCTAACAAATTTGATTGAATTTTCTGAGGTGACCAGGTATATAGGTGAGGGTAGTGCAGTTTATGTAGTTTATATGGATTTCACAGAAAAGCTTTTGACAAGGTCCCACATAGAAGACTAATCAAGTAGGAAAATGCACATGGAATTCAGGGTAATTTGATAAAGTGAATAGAAAATTGACTCAATTGTCGGAGTTAGAGGGTGATGACGGAAGGCTGCTTTAGTGACTGGAAACTGGTGTCCACAGCGGGCTTGCTGGGTCCCCTATTAATTGTCACTTATATAAATGACATAGATGATTGTATGGGGATTGGATTAGTAAGTCTGTGCTTCAGACAAAGTTAACAGTGAGGTTGAATGTTTTGGGCTACAAGAAGATATAGACAGAATGGTCAAATGAGCAGATAAGTGGCAGATAGAATTTAACCCTGAAAAGTATGAGGTGATACACTTTGGAAGAAGTAATTTGACAAGAAAGTATTCAATGAATGGAACTAGGAAGTTCTGAGAAGCAAAGGGACCTTGGCATGTTTGTCCATTGATCTCTGAAGGTGGAAGATCAAGTTAGTAAGGTGATAAAAAAGGCATTTGGGTCACTTACCATTATCTATCGAGGCATAGCTTACAAAAGCAGTGAGGCCATGTTGGAGTTGTATAGAACTTTGGTGAAACCATAGCTAGAGTACTGTGTACAGTTCTGGTCACCACATTACAGGAAGGATGTGATGGCTCTGGAGGGGATGCAGAGGAGATTCACCAGGATGCTGCCTGGGGTGAAAAATGTAAGTTATGAGGACGCTTGGGTTGTTTTTGTTGGAACAGAGAAGACTGAAGGGTGATTTGATTGAGGTGTACAAGATTATGAAGGATATGGACAGAGTGGAAAAGAGCATCTGCTCCCCTGAGCTTTTTACCAGAGGGTGGTGATGGTCTGGAATGTGCTGCCTGGGAGGCTGGTAGAGGCAGGTTGCCTCACATCCTTTAAAAAGTACCTGGATGAGCACTTGGCATGTCACAACATTGAAGGTTAAGGGCCAAGTGCTGATAAATCAGATTAGGTTGAAGGTCAGGTGTTTCTCTCATGTCAGTGCAGACTTGATGAGACAAATGGCCTCTTCTGCACTGTATGATTCCATCTCAGGAATTTTTAGATTAATATCTACAATTCCCCTGACACCATATCTTCAGTCTTGAGGATCAATGGCTGGGTGATGGAGTGAAGGTGCTGGACCTGGCTGTCCATGGCAGTGCCAACCTGTCCATGGAGGCATGCAGATGGCTGCATGACTTGCTGCACTGCTGTAGCTTGTGTGTAATGAGTGCTGTTGTCTCCCCCATTCTTGTCTGCCATTTCTGCTCCCTCCTGCACATGTGGGTGAAGCCCCTGATTGCTGTTACTTACAGGGTAGTGCCTGAGCCAGCAGTCCTCTGTGTGTCAGTCACCTGGAGCATTCCTTCATAGACCAGATACAGGGCTGCCAGTGTGCTGGCTTCAGTCTCTCATCCTGAGAGGCTAAGGAGATGGTTTCTGGGGGAGCTGGCCATTTCACCAAATAGTGTCAAATATCCTGGCAGTACCTGCAAGACAAAGAGAGAGAAGGTATCACGGCCAGTATTCAGAAGTGGTGGTCAATGAATGACACTGACAGTGGGATTACTATGAGAGTTGCAGTAGGATGAATAGTGGGACTTACTCAGGTGGCAGGACATGGATTTCTCAGCATCCCTGCAGGAGCAGTCCTGGCCTTCTCCTGCAAGGAGCAAGATTCTGTCCTCATAGGAGTTGAAGAGTCAAATATTGGACACCACTCCACCCACCCTTAGTGCCCGATTGTGAGCAGTCTTCTCTCAGAATGGGAGAAAGGGAGGCATTGAGTGAGATGAAAGTGGGTAGCGTGACTGTTAGTGCTGGTGCAGGTGGGGAGAAGATGGTGAGGTATCCTGGACGAGTGGGCAGGTAGTGCAGTTGCTGTGCAACGTTATGATTTGTGAGGTTGGTGGGGGATGGGTCTTGGGAGGTGAGAGAAAGTAAGGGAAGATGTTGATAAGTGGCAGAGCATGAGCCTCATTGGGGACAATAGCCGAAAGAGAGTGAATGTGAGGTATCAGAGAGAAGAATATGGCCCTTACCCTGGCCGAATGAAGAAGTTCATTGATCTTCATACACTGCTGTTGGCCATTCCTTCAGACAGTCAGGATGTCACTGACCCTGGTGGCAACATCAGACCAGGTTACCACGGTCTAGTGGCATGGCCTCCTCTGCTGATCCTCAGGAAAGAGGACTCCTCTCCCTTGCAGCACCTCCTCAACCAGGACTTGTAGACCCCTGTCGGAGAATCAGGGCACCATCTTCCCTTTCTCTGATATGTTCAGACTCCATCTTTAACCAACCAGGGCAGCTTCAGAACACCAGTGTGTGTGGCTGGTTGCACAGTGGTTCTCGAAGGGTGTTAGTCTTTAGACAGCTGAGTTGTTCCAAGAATGATGGATGGTAAGATAGGGATAGAATTGATATGAAAGTTGCCATAGGGAAGAGATAGGTAATTATTGAGATGTGTTTTGTGAGATATAGTGAGAAATCTCACTGAGTCTCACGGCAAGAATCTCTGCAAAAAACTAAACACAACTCACGCTTAAACTAAAAACAAAAATAATATCCAGCCCATTTGTTTTTGATTATCGCAAAGCCCTGTCGGATGTATCAGGTATTAAAAATCCTATGGCATTATATCAAAGAGCTGCAGGGTAGGTTTCCCCATGCCCTGGTTGGCAATGATTCTTCATCTTGTTTCTGTCAAACAGACTTTCTGATCATTATCACATTTCAATGTGTGGGACCTTACGATATCCAAATTCACTTGTGTCTCTGTTTTATGGCAATGACCATACTTTAAAAGATTGTTTTGGCTGTGAAGGATTTGGGATGTCTGAGGAGGTCTACACAGATGCAAATTATTTCATTCTACGGGAGCTCTAAGTCAGAAAATATGGCTTGTAAGAATTACATTTCACAGCTTTAAAATACATTTCTTTGTGCATTTTCTTGTTCATTTTCCTTGCTTCATGTTGTCAAGAGAACAATTGGTTATCTTGCTCTATAATGTCTGATTATTTCTCTCTGTAGGATGTCAAGGCTGAGAGTAATGACATTGCTGATGAGTTAATTATGGAACAAGTTGAATCTTTTCAGCAGAAACGAGATTTCTTCCAGAAGTGGGGTAAGAATTAGAAACAGAAGGAGACAATTCAGCCCATCAAGCTTGTTCCACATTTCAATTAAATCATGGTTTACCTGAATCTTAATCCTCTTTATCCACTTTAGTTCCATAACCCATACCTGACAAAAATCTTGCAATCTCTGTTTTTAGGTTTTCAGTCGAACTCCAGACTCAAATACCCTTTGGGGAGAATGTTTCCAAATTTCCACAAACTGTCATGAGGAAGTGTCCACTGAAATCACCCTTGAATAGCCTAGCCTTTAAATTTTAGGAATCTAACCTCTCGGTCTCGACTCCCCCTGATGCAAGGGAATAGTTTATCTTTACCTGTCATATACAATGTCTGAACCATCTTAAGCAACTTAGTCATGAAACCTCTACATTCAAGTTGGTACACATAGATTAGTCTTTGCAACTTGTCATCATAATGCAATAGTTTTCAACCTGGTATCAGTCTGTTGGAACTGCTGTACACCCTCTCCAAGGCCAATTTACCTATCCTGGAGTCAAAAGCCCAGAACTGAATCCTTACTCCAAATATGGTATAACTAGAACCTTATACAATTGTAGCAAAACTTCCATCCTTTTGGTGTTCCTGGCACATTTGAAAGAAAGGTAATCTGTCAATTTGCCTCTAAGTTAGATTTTGTACCTGACCATTACATTTTGGTGTTTTCTGTACTTCAGTCTCTAAATCTCTCTGCTCCCCCACACTTGTGAACTTCAGCTCATTTAGATCATCTCCTGAATTACCTTAATCTTAATCTCAAAGCAAATGACCTGCAGTAAATTTTATTGACTCACACTGAACTCTGTCTGCCACAGTCGTAGGATCAGTTTGGGTGCAGATACAAAATAACAAAAGAAAGAAGTCATGGGTTGGAGTATTTTTTACATCCCTGATAGCTGTTACACTGCAAACAGAAAGTAAATCAAGAAATATTGGTAGATTTAAACCTGAACATCAGATTCAATCATATTAGGTAACCATTAACTAGGTGTTCGTTTACCATTAGATTCTAGATTTAATTCTAGGTCATCATCCATTCTCAAACTCAGTATGGCTTGTCCTCTTGATAGTTCAAGAACATATACAATTGAACTCACCTATTATGTATTGTTAACCTACTTTCAGCAAAAACAATCACAGCCAATCAGGCTCCTTATAGGTTGAGTTGAAATTGGAATCTTGGTCTTGTAGGAAACTGGAACGCATCTTGCTGGTTTTTGAAATAAGCTAGCTTGGAACCGAAAGAAAGATTAAACCTAACTGCCAGGTCAAAAAGATAAAGCTGCAGTCTGTAAATAGAAATAGAATGGGTTAATTTTACAGATTGGAGCTAGAGAAAAAGGGATTAATCCTCCTTTTGATTGTTAGATGAATAATGAACAGGTTTGCCATGTATTGGCCTGGTTCTTATACAACCCAACAATAATGGAGGTCTTGACTGAAATTGCTGAATCCCCATTTATTAGACCACAACAGATTTAGCTGTGGCGAGGAAACCTTTAGAGGTGAAATCCTAAGGAACCATCACTCCAAAGTCTGCTGTTCCTCCCAAACATAACACATCAAGTCTCATAACTTAACAACTATATCCGTAAATATTGATTTAAGTGGGTCGAAGTCCAGTGATGACTTTCCTTTATTCAAAGCTTTGAGTTTACATGTGTGAATGTTTGCTCCCTGAAGTTCAAAAGTTCCCTTTCTACCCTTCATCACAGGGAAGAAGGATCCTCCGCAGGTAAAACATCCATCCAAGATTTTGCTTCCCAAACCACCAGAAAAGAAGAAGACAGAAGAATCCAGTAATTGTGAGGTGCAGGAACACAAAGGTATCTAAATATGGGAAAAGCTCAGAGAATTCAAAAATATAACACAATATGATTTAAACTTTGGATGTTTTAATTCTCTTATTCAAAAAGCAATCAGATTTCCAAATCATCATGGAATCCGCATTAGCAATTGGTCACTACCAAGTGTGCTTGTCCACCCAGGAAATTCCATGTCACTAGTCATGGGTTATTTTGGTCATTGTGTGGCTGATGAGCCTTATCCTAGAGCCAGATGTCTAACCACACATTTGGCACGTATTTTCGGGAGGTGGAATTGGTCCTTGCCCTTCAGGAATGAAACTGATGGAAAACAGATGTTTCACCTCGTGGAGCTGGAGGAACACAGCAGGCCAGGCAGCATGAGACGAACAGGAAAGCTGACGTTTTGGATTGGGACACTTCTTCAGAAATGGGGGAGGGGGAAGGGAGCTCAGAAATAAATAAAGAGAGGAGGGATGGGACTGGGGAAGGAAGGTGGGATGGTGATAGGTGAGTGCACGTAGGGAGTGGTGGGGATTGGTCAGTGAGGCGGGAGGAGCGGATAGGTGGGAGAGAAGATGGACAGGTTGTGGTCAGGTCAAGGAAGCAGGGATGAGAAGGAGGGTTGGCCATGGGATGAGGCCGGGGGTGGGGAGATTTTGAAACCAACCCCCCCGGCCTCATCCCATTACCAACCCTCCCTATCATCCTTGCCTCCTTGACCTGGC